TCTTTGGTCCAAATATTCTTCTCAACACCATGTTCTCAAACACCCTCAGTCTATGTTCCTCCCTAATGTCAGAGACAAAGTTTCACACCCATACAGAACCACTGGCAAAATTATAGTTTTGTATATTCTAATTTTTATGTTTTTGGACAACAGACGAGAAGACAAAAGGTTCTGGACTGAATGGTAGCAAGCATTATCTGAATTCAATTGCCTCTTAATTTCCTCCTGAATCAGGTTTCGATCTGTTATCATTGTACCCAAATATCTGAACTGTGCCACATTAACAGAACATCTGTTTCCTATCTTTATGTCATGATTTTGCCCTGCATTTTGGAGATGAGACAGTAACATATACTTAGTTTTCTCTGTGTTTACTTCTAGACCAACCTCTNGAACGATCAAGTCGAGGAGGATGTGGTGGGCAGGTCATGTAGCATGAATGGGGGAGATGAGGAATGCGTATAGGATATTGGTGGGAGAGTCAGAAGGAAGGAGACCACAGAGAAGACTAAGGCATAGGTGGGTGGACAATATTAAAATGGATCTTAGAGAGATAGGATGGGATGGTATGGATTGGATAGATCTGGCTTAGGATAGGGACCAGTGGAGGGCTCTTGTGAACACGGTGATGAACCTTCAGGTTCCATAAAATGCTGGGAAATTCTAGAGTAGCTGCAGAATTGGCGGCTCCTCAAGAAGGGCTCAGCTCCATGAGTAAGCAAGTAGTAAGTAAGTAAGTAAGTAAGTAAGTAAGTGTTTTTCTTTATGGTATCTCCATTATCACCCAGTAGATTCACATCATCGGCGTAGACCAACAGCTGATGTGTCCCATTTAATTTCAGTCCCACATGGTTTCCCTGGACCTTCCTAATTGCATATTCTAAGGCAAAGTTGAAAAAGAGCGGCGATGAAGCATCTCCTTGTTTTAAACCATTCTGGATAGGAAATTTATCAGACAAATGTTTACCTACTCAGACTTTACTATACGTTTCTTTTAAACACATTTTAATCAACCTAACTAGTTTCATGGGTATCCTAAACTCTATTAGAATATTGTACAATACTTCCCTCCTAACTGAATCGTAGGCTTTCTTGAAGTCTATGAATAGCTGATGTACTGTCTCATTGTACTCCCATTTTTTCTCCAATATCTGATGAAGGTTAATTGGATTGGTCATATCTTATGCGGTAACTGCCTTCTAAAAGAAGTTATTGAAGGAAAGATAGAGGGGGCGGTTAGAAGTGACCAGAAGACGAGAAAGAAGACGTAAGAAGATGCTGGATGACCTTGGGGACAGAAGAGGATATTTTCATTTGAAGGAGAAAGCTCTAGATCGCATCAAGTGGAGGAACTGTTTTGGAAGAGACTGTGGACCTGTTGTCTTGACAGATTACTGGTGAATGAATGAAATCTGACGAATGCAAAAGATCTGATCTGTAGTTGATCTGTTACATCGAAACCCACACTGAAGATCCTCAATAATTTCATCTATATATGGACTTAACCTTGAAAGATGGATATTGGACAAAATTTTATATGAAGTTCATAGCAGTGATATTCCCCGATAATTACTACAGTCTGTTCTATCGCCCTTCTTGAATACCATAAAATTGTAATTTAGTTAACAAAATTTCATGATTAACACAATCAAAAGCTTTAGCTAATTAACAGAATATTCCACCTACATGCATTTTCTGCTTAATAGATTTTAATACACTGTCTCTTAGCGTTAAAGGCTGCATTTTCAGTGGATATTCCCTTCCTGAAGCCGAATTGTTCTGGGACTAGTATATTATTAGTCTGCAAATAATGACTTAATCTGTTGTACATAACTTTCTCAAGTACTTTAGAAAAAGTAGTTAATAGTGAGATTGGTATATAGTTAAACATACTACAGGGTAGTAGCTCAAGTTAGGCCCTCACCATTTCACTCTACAGACTTTCATAATAATTATTTACTGTCAATCATGCCATTACTACTGTGAAGTCTGATTCACTGTAAGCACTATTAGCTCTGGCATGTAAACCTACTTTCACAAGTTAGATAAAGTTAGATTAGGTTTTGATTAAGTTGTATGTTAAATTAAGGTAGAAGAATTAGGTTAGCTAGATAAGGTTACAGGCATACAGGGAGAATTTTTACTTTTTTTGCCGGTTCCACAACTCTGTGCTTCGCGGCAACCGGGGTGCCGCTTGCCGTAAGGCACATACAAATTTTGCCCATGAATCAGCATGCCTTACAGCCAATAATGTTTGGAATGAAGAGTTACAATTCAAAGATCATAGGAGGTACTTCTTTTGGCTTATTTTGGACTTCACCCATCGTCCGGTATNCAGATTATAGGAGGTGTTTGAAAATGCTGTCCCTATACATGTAGATATGTTTTGCAATTAATTGTTTCATTAAAAAACACAGGTACAACAATCTTTGCATTTACAGCATATCAGACACCAACTTTCACTGGATGGAGCGGGACTTCATGGGTTAGATATGGATTCTGTGGACTCCAGTAGCGATTATTTTGCATAGTTATGTATCTCTGCAAGTGAAACCACACTTCATCAGAAAAGAGTGTCAGTTGTGGATCAATCTCACCTTTGACGACAGACTGTAGGAACCATCTGCTAAAATGAACCCTCCAGTTGGATCATACAGCTGCAAAATGTGTGTGGATTACTGTTGTCTTATAGGATCTAAGCTTCAGCAATTGTGTTGCTGTTCTTGCACTAGACTTTGACACTGCGGTCTCTTGAGCTAGACATTTCAGTGATTTGCTAGGTGTATGTTCAGGTCTGGCCCAAATGTCTTCTCACTTCTCTTCAGTAAGTACCTGGTGCTTATGTTTTTGTTTCTTGCCTATTAAGAGCCCCGTTATTCTAAGTTTAATCACCAAATTTTGAATTGTTTGTCAGCTGGGAATGCTTTGATCATGAAATTTATGTTTTGCCAACACTTTCTGGCAGATCGTATTTCACATAGGTGTAATACAAAAGTACACATTGCTTTAAAGTATACCGCACCATGATGCACCACACCGTTCACTAACTTTAACTCAGAACAAATGGCTAATGGAACTGATAACTGCTGCCTGCTGATGAAAAATCGTAAACAAACTCCCATGCATGAACCACATTGCTCACTGTGAAACATAATGCCATCAAGCGGTCCACAAGTTAATTACTGCCCTTCATTCCAAGTGTTTTTGGCTATCAGTGTGCTGATTCAGTGACAGAATTTGTACGCGCTTCGCAGCAAGCGGAAGCCTGGTTGTTCTGAAGCACAGAGCCATGAACCAGTCAACAGAGTTAAAATCGCAGTATATGTTCTTTGACACTTATCTATTTGGAATTAGCCAAGAGAAATTAAGCATGTAAAGGGTTAAATTAAGTATAAATAAACAGCTAAATAATTAAGGATAAAATTATGCTTACATACAAATGTAAATCACTGTCCAACTCTTTAGCATCACTCATTGTTGCAGGCATTTGTTTCACTGTGTGAGGCTGATGGCCATGTCAAGTGGTATCACTTCTGTAGGTAGCCCACAGTCATGTCAGAACTATCATGTAGTCATGATTTCTTTGTATTTGGTACTGCTATTACCTGAGTAAAGTAAGGTGGAATTGCTTTCAGAGATGGAATTCCTTCAGCTCGACAAGTGCTTCTTAAGGGATATGGACCAGAAGGCTTTAAATTATTCACAAATTATAACAGCAGAAAAGGTCAAGAACTTGTAAGTATGTGTAATGACTAATGATAATCTTCTTTCCTGCTTTTTCCTTCAGTGTTCCCACTTTCATATGGGTCATCAACCAACTCTTTCTATTTACTTTGTCTTTTCAAAGCCCTTTCTCCTCCACAACTTCTTCCTTCTGCAGGATGTCTTTCCTAACCTATTGTTCCTATCTTGATCTCAATCTTTCCCTTAGTAATTTTGCTTCCAATTTTATGTTAAGAACACCTAAAACATCACTCATGGAGCTGAGTCCTTCTTGAGAAGCCACTAATTTTGCAACTACTTAAGAACTTCCAAGCATTTTGTGGAGCCCAAAGGTTCATTACCGTGTTCACAAGAGCTCTCCATTAGTCCCTATCCTGAGCCAGATCAATCTAATCCACACCATCCCACCCCATCACTCTTAAGATCCATTTCAATATTGTCCACCCACCTACACCCTGGTCTTCCCAGTGGTCTCTTTCCATCTGGCTTTCCCACCACTATTGTTTATGCATTAATCTTCTCCTCCATTTGTGCTACATGTCCTGCACATCTCATGCTCCTTCACTTGGTTATTCTAATTATACTTGGAGAAGAGTACAAGTTATGAAGCTTCTCATTATGCAGTTTTCTCCAACCTCCTGTCACTTCATCTCTCTTCGGTCCAAATATTCTCAACACCCTCAGTCTGTCTTCCTTCCTTAATATCAGAGACCAGGTTTCACCACAGACAAAATTATAGTTTTGTATATTCTAATTTTTATGTTTTTGGACAACAGAAGAGAACGCAGAAGGTTCTGGACTGAATGGTAGCAAGCATTACCCGAGTTCAATCTCCCCTTAATTTCCTCCTGAATCAGGTTTCAATCTGTTATCATTCCCAAATATCTTAATTATGCCACATTTTCAAAATTCTGTTTTCTATCGTTATGTCATGATTTTGCCCTGCATTTTTAGACAAGACAGCAGCATATACTTAGTTTTCCCTGTGTTTACTTCTAGACCAACCTCCTTACTAGCGTCAATTAACGTTTGTGTGTTTTTCTTTATGGTCTCTATATTATCACCCAGTAGATTCACATCATTGGCATAGACCAACAGCTGATGTGTCCCATTTAATGTCAGTCCCACCTGGTTTCCCTGGACCTTCCTAATTGCATATTCTAAAGCAAATTTGAAAAGTAGTGGTGATAAAGCATCAGATGTTTACCTATATGGACTTTACCATGTGTTTTGTTTGAACACCTTTTAATCAGCCTAACTAGTTTCATGGGTACCTGAAACTCTGTCAGAATATTGTACAATCCTTCCCTCCTCACTGAATCATAGGCTTTCTTGAAGTCTATGAACAGCTGATGTACTGTCTCATTGTACTCCCATTTTTTCTCCAGTATCTGACGATTGCAAAAGATCTGATCAATAGTTGATCTGTTATGTCAAAACCCACACTGATGATCCCCAATAATTTCATCTATGTATGGACTTTACCTTGAGAGAAGAACGTTGGATAAAATTTTGTATGAAGTTGATAGCAGAGATATCCCCCAATAATTACTACAGTCAATTTTATTACCCTTCTTGTGAACTGGTACAATAATAGACTCCTTCCACTGATCAAAAAAATTTTCCTTATGCCAAATAGAATTAATTAGCTTATGGATCTTAGAATGTAATATTTTGCCTCCTGCTTAAATAAATTCTGCCAGAATTTGATCACTACCTGGTGATTTTCAAATTTGCAGTAGCAATTTGAACCTCAAAAGGGCTAGGATCAGGTACTAACGGCTCAGCTGTATGTATTTCTATCTGCCTGACATCACTGACCCTATGTACATCCAGTAACGGAGAAAAGTAACATTCTCATTCTATATTATTCTCTTGATTTAATTCATCTTCAGAATTATTTATGTTTAAATTCTGATGTCTTTGTTCGTTATTCTCTCTGTTCTAATTTTTCCTTCTATATTATTATATAAAAAAAGGAGCTGGGATAGTGCAGTCGGTATAGCGACTGGCTGCTGGCTGGACGGCTGAGGGGTTGGAGTCCCGGTAGGATCAAGAATTTTCTCTTCTCCACATTGTTCAGACTGGCTCCAGGGCCCACCCAGCCTCTTGTCCACAGGGTACCCGGGGTTCTGTCCAGGTGATAAAGCAGCTAGGGTGTGAAGCTGACTAGTGCCAAGGTCAAGAATACGTGGATCTATACATACACTCCCCCATATGTCTTCATGATTAAGTGCTTAATAAACACTTCATTGGGTACCAGAGGCAGCTCACACTGCTGGTAGTTAAAGTGGTAGACATTACCATCTGCCTTCTTGAGTCAGCTGTTACGTTGTATTTGTATTATACTTTTCTGAACTTATCTGTAAATTTCTGCAGTTTTTAAAACAAAATTGAACTATGTGTGAACATATTTTTTGCTGTAGTTGATTAAAGACATAATTAACCAGTTTGTTTCTGCAATTTGTTTTGAGCAGTATTGCATTGTGTTGTCTGTGAAATGTAGGTTTTTTTTTATTTGGAGATGTTTCAGAATCCCATGAGGAAATAGATTTATGTGTCAGTTTTTATGTTAGTGATGTGAATACAAGAGTGATCCGTCACATGGTAAATAAAGAATAACTGTGTGTAAGTGAATGTGGGTTTTGCGGCCATGGGAGGCATCATACCTCCTAATGCATTCCCTGTCACATATGAAGATGCAGTTAATGTCCTGTCAGCTGGTCGTTTTATGTGATTTCTTTTAAGCAAAATAGAAATAAAAGTGTGGATAATTTTAGACCTTATATGTTATCTTTCAGTAAGGTGATACAGCTGTGTGCTCCTTGAAGTATGCAAGGTGAGGTCAGATGGCTGTCAGTACACTGAATGTTCAGAAATGTCATGGAAAGAATATTGAAGGATGGAGTATGTCAATAACAAATCTCCAGGCCTGGCTTCAGGAGGAAGGAACCGTAGTCCTGGGGATATCTGGGACCAGGAAATATGTTGACAGTGTGACAATGAAGTGGTTAATTGCTGTATTATATTTCCAGGCTGAGAATCCCAATGCTGCCTTAAGTTTCTATTGGGAACCACTGAAGAAGGCAGTAAGTAAACAGCAATATCAGTTAAGTCTGTTGTCCATCACGGTAAGTACTGTAGTTAGCTTTCATTCGCACACTATACTTTCTTCCACAGTACAGCCCATTTATCTCCCTCTCTTTCCACTGCATTGCTTCCGCATACTGCTATCATCATGTGTCTATTTGCTAAAATTGCTTTAATGTGTAGTATGTGCAACTTCACCTATCACAAGGGAATGTGGTATCTCCCACTTAAAATAAATAAAGGGGTGTATGTGAGTACTATAAAATAAACTAACACAGAAAAAGAAAAAAATAGAATGAAATTAACAATAATAATATATTCTTTACTTATTGCAGATGGTCACGGCACCAACACGATTGGGAGCTACATATACACAACTCCCATGCCGCTACACAACAAATCCAGACACACTGCTAATTGGCTAAAAGGATGACAGCCCCCAAGCAAAAATATTGAAATTTTAATTGGGCTTGATTTGATTTGTAATGATTTTTAGTGATTTATAATAGAGTGTATTTATTTTAAGTGGGAGATATCACAGTCACATGTTATAGGTGAAGTTACACATACTACACAGTGAAAGAGTTAGCAAGTAGAGACACCTGATGACGGCCATGTACAGCTGAAACATGTAGTGAGAAGAGGAAGGGGGAGATAATAAGCGTGTTGCATTGTGGGCAGAAGTATAGTGTTTGAATGAAGAGTATATTAATGTGACAGGATGCTTAGATACAATATTGTAGTTACCACATAAGTGAGACTCTTTCTTCAGGGGTTTCTACTAGGATGTGCCTGTGCACTGCACTGTTCTGCCATCCAAAAAAATAAACACAACCTACAGTAATTCTCGTCACAGTTCTGAGCAGCAGAACTGTGTGCCAGTATTTCTGTTAGATAGATACCTTCCACAGTGCACTGAGATGCTTTATACAACGTAAGGCAGGGTGCAGGGCTCAAGAAAACTGATGTGGTTAGTATAGTTCCCACATGTTTGTTCCTTCTGTTGGAATTCTGTCTGTGTGATACATGTTGCCCAAATGTTGCTGCCCTGACTAATCAGTGGCAACATAATACTCACCTCAGTTCTGTTACGATGCATGAAGTATATGTGCTTGGCACCTGTCGTCATTCCTGCCGCCATTGCAAGCATCGCACAGCTGTATGTCAATGTGCCAGTAAACCCAATCATCAAATCCAGAACCCATTATTATTTGTCACGCAAACCCCTGATACATGACTATTTTGAAGGAACATGCCTCCATCTTCAGGGAATAAGATGGAGGCAGCGGGTTTTTCCACCATGTTGGTTCTGATATAACATTCCAGATGATTGCACCAAGTGGACTGGAGTAACATAATGCTCCAGACTTATGTTCAGGGGATGGTTGTTCAAATGTTAAGCAGTCACTGGCTGTCCTGACTTAGGTTTTTGAGGTTTTCCTCATTCCTTCCAGGAAATGTTGCTACAGTACATCAGTTACAACATCCTCTCCCATTCATCAGTCATACCGCTGTTGACACTGTATAGTTTAGACACTGCCAGCGTTATGAAGTGAGCCACTAATCTGACCCGGAAGTGCATAATCTGGGTGTTTTAATGAGGTTTTACTTCATCTGTTACTTATTTCGTTTGATTCAAGGTTCGAGTGGAAGGCCATGTTGAGAAACTATCAGCTTCTGAGTCTGATGAGTACTTCCACTCGAGACCCATACTGAGCCAGATTGGTGCCGTTGTGAGTGAACAGAGCAAGCCAATTGTCAGCCGGGATGTCTTTATCGAGAGACGGGCAATGCTGTTGGAGCAGTATGGGGATGGGTCAGAACAGCTTCCTCGGCCCAAACACTGGTAAAAGCAGCATAACAGTTCCACATGGATTTATTAACGCAGTTACTACATAAATGACTATGGTATTCTTAATGCATCAGTCAACACAACAGTTCTATAATAAACAAGTCAGTACTGTTGTATTGGACTGCCTGTGTGGTCTAGTGGTCAGAGTTTCTGGCTACAGATCCAGAGGTCTTAGGTTCGATTCCCGGTGCTACCACATTTTCTGAGAAGTAGTGGGTCTGGAACAGGGTCCACTCAGCTTCGTGAGGATAATTGAGAAGCTACTTGAATGGAAAAGTAGCAGCTCCGTTCTAGAAAACCGAGATTAACTGCCATGGAAATCCATTGTGCTGACCACGTGACACCCTTTATTCACAAAAAGTTGGCACTAACTTTGCTGGCAAGCGGCAGTTGCTCGGCTGGTGTAATTTGCTTGCAGACTAAAGGTCACGGAGTTAGTACTATTGTGATAACTTGTCAGTTGCGCAGTAAGCCGTAATGTTATCCTTATGTATGGATTAAAAATTAGTTCATTATTAATGCAACTGATATACAGTAGTCGCAGCTGAACAAGTGTTTTGTGTAGAGCACTGAACATACTTTTGTTAATGAAACTATTCACATTATTACTTGTTTATTCTTTCTTGATTCACTACTGCTAGTTTTTTGTTTATATGTATAATAATTGTTTTATATGGGATATTGGTGGGAAAGTCAGAAGGAAGGAGACCACCAGGAAAACCAAGCTATAGATGTGTGGGTAATATTAAACTGGATCTTAAAGAGGTAGGATGGGCTGGTATGGACCGGATTGGCTCACGATAGGGTCCAGTGGAGGGCGCTTGTGAACATGGTAATGAACCTTCAGGTTCTGTAAATTGCTTGGAAGTTCTTAAGTAGCTACATGGCTGGTGGCTTCTCAAGAAGTGCTCAACTCCATGAAGTTAGTGTAATAGTTGCCTTATGTGTGTGCCAATTGATGCTGGCTGAATTGTAGATATGTCACTGCTTGGATGGTGGCATGTGTTCTTTTGATCCACACCAACATGTTATAACACTGTACCAACATTACATCTGTGTTCCTCCTTCATGAAGAGAGACCAAGTTTCATACCGGTACAAGAATGTTTAGTGCCAGGTGTAAATAGTAAAGAGGTTGTAAGACATACATTATAAACAAAACCTGTTATGGGTGACGTGTTCCAGGGGAGGCTATCTGGTGGTACCTGAAGTTATAGAGTTCTGGCAAGGTCAGACTGATCGGTTGCATGACAGGATTCGGTTCAGGAGGCCCAAGAGTGGGGATGAGCCTGATGGAGTCCTGTTACATCAGGGGGACAATGGCTGGGTGTATGAAAGGCTTTCACCTTGAATGGTAAACTGGTTGCACATTACAGATGTGCAGGTCAAATTTTATATTTTTTACTTATATTGAAGTCAGTTTTTTTCTGTACATTATATTATTATACTCAGTTTTATGAATATTTATACATATACACTTGGTCCTCGATATATGGATAGTTGATATGTGAACAGCTGTGCATGTGAATGCCATAGAGACTCTTCATTTTTGTTTTAGTTTGTTTAGTTTTATCTACTTATTTGCTTGTGGATGTCTAGTGTGCTCTTTAATATTCATTTAAAAGGTAATCTACATAAAATATTGTGACATGACTGAAATTCAGAATAGTTTAACAAGAAAAGTCATCCATTGCTTGGCACAGACTGCAAAAAAAAACACCACTTCAGCAGTCTTCTGTCGTTGCATGTGTATCCGTTGTTGTGGATGCATGTATTAGTTGCCATGGAAACATGTTTACCCATCATTGCTGCCTGACTTTTCTTGCTAAATTATTCTAGCTTTTGAGATGTCATGTCACAGTATTATACGTTAAGTAGTCTTTGTTCATAAGCTGAAGTACTCAGCTACTACTAGTAACCCTATTTCTTATGAGGGAAAAATATTTTTTGACTGAAGAATAACACTTAATTATGAATGGTGTTTTTAAACATAACTCATTCGTAAGTTGAGGATCAAGTATGTATTGATACATTCCTGTGCTCTTGCGTATCGTAGCATTAAAGTAATGAAATAGGAGACTGGTCCAGTATTTTTCTGGCATATCACTGTATGTAGTAATATTTTCAATTTGTAAATTTTGAACTCCAGGGATGTATGAAAAATGTGCCAGGAAGTTTTACATTAGGAAATGGCTGTCACCAGAGCTGGAGTAGACATGGGTAGTTCTAGATCACCGTTTCTTTTTACACTGCCATAAGATGTAACTATTATTCTCATTCCTAAATCTGCATTATGATAATTTCCTCTCATCTATTGAACAGGGGCCTCTGTCTAGTTCTGAAGAGCCATTTCCACCCCTGGTTGTGACAGATATTTTAGGTATCATTGGTATCTTAAAGTAGACAGACAAGAAATTTAGTTCACTACAGTGCAAAAAATAGGATACTGTATATTCTAGCCATTATAAATTATGTTTCTGACAAAGAGATGAAAATCATGAGATTAATTTTACTTAAGTGCCAAAAGGGGACATAAAATAGTTTACTTTTGATAATTCTGGCCCTTAAGTTTTCACAGCTTAGGTTTAATGTATGTTTCTTCTGGGAATAGGCCACATAGAATGCTGAAGGTTTTCCAACATTCCGGCAAACATTCCAGTTGCTGCATTTAGAGTTAATGTCCTGGGAGGAGGGGGTCTTGAAGCCCATATATGGGTCTGGCAGTGGGTGGGAAGTGGGAAGATAGGCTTTGGTAGCACCCCTCTCTTCAGTCCACCCAGCCACAGCTCCACCTCAGATTCTGTACACTGTACACTGCCACATGTATATAAGGGTTTCCAGACTCCAAAGACACATCAACTTTTCCAATGCTTTGTAGAATTCTCAAAGTCTTTCAGCATTTTATGTGGCAAATTTGCAAGAGCTGAAGTTCTACTTTTGTTGTTTTAACCAATGATTACGTATTACAGTAAACCCTCATTATAACCGACCCAGATATAGCAGATTTGGGATATAATGGACAAACTCTGGCTGTGCACACTTGTTAATTTTTAGAGATAATGGGGCATGAAGAAGGTTCTGTAGTAAGAAAACTATTTAAAATAAAAAAGAACCCCAATATGTAATCACATTCTGTGTTTTTGTGTTCATTGCTCATGTTGTTTTTTTATACCACGGTGTACTTCCATGAGTACCCCTTCACTCAGCTATAGTACACACTGGCAATAATGGACCCCCACCCAATTAGTCCATTATGAAGGAGGGTTTACTAAATTGGATTCTTTAACAATGCTGCTTTAACTGTGGAAGTTCCATACCCTCTCTTGTATTTACATAAAATTTATAATGATACTCTCAATGCTTAGATTGTATAGCGTTGAACGATATAATGTTACTGAATGATGAATTTGGAATTGATGAAGGAAGCAGCCACGCCTTAATTTGAGGCACTGTTCCAGCACTTACATTTAGGGCCTGAGGAAAACTGAAAAATTGAGTCAGTATATCTGTTCTCCAGGCTGAGGTTTCTGTCAAGGACCTCCTGAATATGAAGCAGAATTACCACTCACCTAGCCGCCAGGTTTGGTGAGATGGGTATTTGATCATGAATGGTGAGTAGGTAAGGATAGGCACGGAGCCAATAATTTCCTGTTTCAAGTTTCTTTATAGTTGCTGGCTTGGAGAGCTCTAAGTCTTATATGTTGAAATAGCTGGGTAAATCTGACAGGAGTTGTCCAGTGATTGAGATTAGCTCTTTCTAAGGGGCCCAACTGAGTACGTGTCTTCTTTCCTCGCCTGAAGACAGAAACAGATCCAGTTTCTGAAACATCATGTTTTCTGTTTCCTAGAATTCTGGACGATGGGAAAAGTCCAAAAACCCAGTAATTCAATGTGTTATCCACCATTGTNCATAGTTACTATAGTAACTACTTGTATATAGTCTGTCATCATTTGTATATTTCTACAAATGCCACCCAATGT